GAATCCGATGGCTACAAAAGCTTTGGTGAAGCAAATTGATAAGAATCTCCGAAACAAAATAAATGTGATCCGCAACAAGGACGACTATAGTTACACCGAGGCGATGGAGATTTAGTACTCCACGCGATAAGAACTTTTTATAATAATCTATTTCTAGAATAGCTCCGTTTTGGTTTCTTTAGAAGTTCAAACAAAAGTTGCATTCAATGTAAAAACGATTGATTTGAATATAATTTTACATTCAATTCAAAATAAAAAAAATATAGAATTAGGGATTTGAGAAATTGGTTTGGGGATTTTCTTATCTTCTGTATGTTTGTTAAACTGTGTCGTTTTAGTTAACGACTACAGTAAACGTCGTTTAACGACTAATAACAAATTTTAATGTTGACTAATTACATACTTAAAATGGCTCAGTCAACTCAAGTCTATACTTTATTTGGCTCATTAACAAGTTCATATTTAATTTGGCTTTCTCTGAAGAATTCGTAATTAAAACGTCTGTTTTCCCGTTAACTAACTGCTTTTGCAAATTACTAAGAATATTATTTTTTTAAAAGCTCACTCGATACTAAAAAGGTAACCATTAATTAGTTCATATATACATCCTACATGTAGCTATTCTAACATTAAACCCGATTCACCAATAATATTGTTTATCACGATGGCACTTTTGTAGCGATTTATTTCCATCCGATTCTTATTTCCACTCTAAAGAAAGTATAGTGTCCAGCGTTACCGTCTCCACCATTCTCTCATTTCTTATATATAGATATATTATTAGGTAACAAACTATATTATTAAACAACTTCTTTACTCTTATTTTTTCTATAAAAGGCGTGAGCACAAGCCTCTCATCGATTAAAGTTAAGTTATCATCAATTAGTAAGAATTTCCACACTATGGCTTCTGCTCCATCGTTCAACGTCGAGTTTTCAGAGACAAACAGCCCAGGGCATCAGAAAATTCGTCCAAGACAAGAGAAGCAGGAAGTGGACTACATGCAAAGAGCTCAGTGGCTCAGAGCTGCCTTGCTTGGAGCCAATGATGGCCTGGTCACAGTCGCGTCTCTCATGATGGGTGTTGGTTCTATTAAAGAAGACGTCAAAGCAATGTTGCTCGTTGGTTTTGCAGGCCTTGTAGCCGGTGCATGTAGTATGGCCATTGGAGAGTTTGTGTCTGTGTGCACCCAAAGGGATATTGAAACTGCGCAGATGAAAAGAGCTATTGAGACTAAGACTAAGACATCATTATCAGCAATCGACGAGCAAGAGGAGGAGGTAATGATATAAACAATAAACTCTATTCACATATTACAAAAAGCTTTCGTCATTAACCCCATATTTTTAGAAACTTAGTGTATATACGTTTTCCAACATAGTAAAATATTTTTTAACATAGAAATACCAGTAACATACAGTATAACATAAATAAGTGATATAAGTTACCGTACATTACATTTCCAAGTTATACAACTATCTGTTCATCGATATATTGTTTTTGTACGATTTTATACATATAAAAAATATATATAAAGACCTAGGGACTGAAAAATGATTGGCTGCCAATGAGTTAAAAGATGCCGTCGTTTAGAAAATAAATAAAAATCAATTTGGCCTCAGGACCCAAATAGTTGTGCACGATTGTTTGCTTATGTTTGCGTGTACATAACGTGTTATACATGCATCTTGTATGTTATATAACTCATAAGCATGTTAAAACAAAAACTTTCCTATTAGTTAGCAGTTTGCATTTGGATTTTCGGCGTTTAAAGGATGTGTTAATATATTTCTGAAAACAAATATTTTATGATAAACTAAAACATGTTATATTTTGATTAACAGTGCAATTTTTATTTTTCTACATGTGAGCGCTAATGTATATATATCTTGGTCTTTGAAACATAATCCTATAGAATATATATATTGCCGTTTGATTTTGTTATTATAACAAGTAAACCTTACCACTATTCAAAATTATCCATTTGTTTCAGTGGCATGGCATTTCTATATGAATGTATAATTAAAAATCTATAAGTTTAATGGCAGGAGGAGAAGAAAGAACGGCTGCCAAATCCGGGACAAGCCGCGATGGCATCAGCGTTAGCATTTTCAGTGGGGGCAGCAATGCCACTTTTAGCCGCTGTATTCATAGAGAATCATAAGGTAAGAATGGTGGTTGTAGCGGTCGTGGCCACCATAGCATTGTTGGTGTTTGGGGTGACCGGTGCTGTCCTTGGAAAGACAAGTGTGGTTAAGTCTAGCGTTAGAGTGGTGATTGGTGGCTGGATGGCTATGGCTCTTACCTTTGGTCTCACCAAGTTCATTGGCTCTGAAGCCATGCAAATCTAGACGCTCTTTTGGTGATCTTCTTGTTTCCATGCATCTCAATTAGTGTTCCGTTATGTTTTTATTATAAGCATCACACTAGCCTATCCCTTGTATGTATGTGATGTAGACTGTCTAGAGCACAACAAGCACCCAAAGGTTAAATAAATGGTCTCTTAACCGATCTTTTCATTTCAGAATTCCGTACATATGCTTCAAAATAGCTAGACATCTGCAATGTCTCCCCTATGGTTTCAGTACTCATGCAAGCAAGTAGCTCTAGAAATATTACCTAAACGCGAGTACAAAAGCTGTTTTGTAAAATTAATTATGCTACAAAAATTGCCACAAATACAATTAAATTTTGGTTGCAGATCAAAATCTGAAACTTTCTATTAACAATTCGAGAACTGAAAAGAAGATTAAATTTTGATAGCTCGAAGAGATCATCCACGATCCAAAATATAACGCATATGCATATATATGTTTACAACAAATTTAGTTACTCAAGTAACTTTTTGTAGACGTAATATAAAGCATCCTTGTAGTTATCCCACAAACTACTAACCATGGTCGATACCATGTCGATAGACACTTCAAAAACTTTCGGCCACTCCTTAAGAAATTGGTCAAAACATGGCATTCCTCTCTCTCTCAGGTCACCTATTGTCAATGAGATGGAATCTGATATTCTTATGACTCGTCCTTTCGCCAAATCAAACAAGATCGTAAACACTTTATTGATTAAATCAATAACTAGTTTACACAATTTGGGAAAACAAGACTCGGATGTATCTCTTACCAGCTTGGTCAACGCATAAAGGGCTTCTCCTGGAATCTTGAAGGTTTGTACAAATAGAACGAAAGAACAAGCTGCGACGTGGAAGATCACATAAGAAATCAAATTACACAAAAAACTTACAGTCGAAAATAACAAATTTGCTAAAGCAGCTATCATCTTCTCTGATTTTATTATTTTTTTTTATGGGTTTGGAGGAAGAAAAGAGGAAACAAGGAAAAAATAAAGCCGACGTGCAGGGCATTGGACTATTTCTATATCAATGCTCGGATTATTTAAAAATGTCTCAGAGGTGTTTGGTGTTAACAATTTTATTAGGAGATTACTTTAATTACTCTAATATTTAAATTGATTGTTAACTGACTTTGAGGCTTACAAAGACTAGTTCTTGTTACGTCTAGGCCGGATAGAAGTCTAAAAACCATATCTAGTCTAGAATAAAAGTATAACGACCCAGAAATCAGTGTAGTAACAAAAAACAAAAACAAAAACTATGTTCAGTGACATGGATTGCCATTTTATTTTAAAATTATAAGAGCAACATTATTGGTGATTTGTTTTGGCCGTTTGGATATCAATAAAATTATTTTAATATTAAATTTAATAAGTTTTTATTCATTGATACTCATTAATGATTTTTCAATAAGTTTAATGGTGATACTCATAAAAATTTTTATATAATAAACAAAATTTATATATAAAAAAGTAATATAATAAAATTAGCATATATAAATATATAATATTCTACAAAAACACTAATTTTTAAGTTTCATAAAATTTTAAACATATATTACAATCCGTAAAAATAAACTAAAACATAAAATCCATATAATAAAAAAAAACTTAAAATGATAAAAAAAAAAAAACATAGGAAAGCTTTGATGAATAACATAATTTATTCAATTTAGCTCTAGTTTTCAGTTGTGCCAAAAAATTAATAATGATTTTTATTATTTATTAAAATTAATAAACCAAAAAAAAAAC